GTGAACCACTTTAGGAAAGTCATAAAGGAACGAGAGGTACAGGCCTCTATGGACAGATATGTTGTGCAACAGAAGTCCAGTGACTCTCAAGCTGGTCCTAATGATATTAAAAGAAGAAGAGAAGTAACCCCGGAAAAAGACTTGATACCTCAAGTCCTAATGGAAGGGGATTCCCCTTCTAAACACTAACACCATCCACACTCTCCCCTCCCATCAATCATCACCAGATCTTCATTAACCCTTTGACTGTTTACGCCGTATAAATACGTCTTACGCGCCAATGTTTCTGACGTATTTATACGCACAAATTCTAGCGGCTTCAAATCAAGCGGGAAAGGCCTGGTAGGCCTACATGAGAGAGAATGGGTCTCAGTGGTCGGTGTGCACCCTGTGAAAAAAATCTGGGACCCAGCAGTGCATTGTGGGAAAGCCATCTTGTTAGTCCATTTTCACCATGCCTCTCGGTAAGAAGTTCCTCACTCCTCGGCGGATTGGAGGTCTTTTGTTCCCAAGTGATAGCTCTAACAGCGCTGAAAATGTCAGTGACAGTGAATTCCAGGGTTTTGAAGCGAGTGTTACCGGAAAAAGTGCCTAGGATAACGTAATTAGTGATGAAAACCCAGATGACCCACAATCTTCCACCTCTGGTGCTGGGCCGGCTTGTTCACGTTCACGTTCGCCTGTATCAGGACGAAAGAGGAAAGTATTTGGTCGTGTACAACACCCAGATGTTAGCAGTGAATGTGACAGTGATAGTGATTTCAAGGTCATTGAAAGCAGTTCTAGTGACAGTGAGGGTGAATATTCCCCAGTGAAGCGGCAGTATGTACGACGTAGCATGCGGTCTGGTAGTGTTTCATATGTTGTTCCAAGGGGAAGAAGAAACTCTGGGAGCACATCCCGTGGCCCTACACCACGACCTGATAGTGAAGATGACGATATTGTTACGATGGGTATGAATGATGTGAGTGAGGGAGCAGGAAGTGGTGGTGATAGTGATGGTGGCACGGCCCATGTGGCACCATCAGTGGGCCACGCTGCTGACTCTGCACAACAACGAGCCTCACCTGACCCCACACTCCCACAACCTGCACAACCACAACCACGGTACAATATCCAGAACCCACCAGCAGACCGCATCTGGGATTGGCAGGACGGTGACGAGTTTGTTCCCAGTCCCCATGACTTTGATGAAACACAAAGTGGAATAAAGCCATCATGTCCACTTGGGAACAATGCTAGTGAACTGGACTGCTTTGAGTTATTCTTCGATGAACCCCTGATGGACATCATTGTCAAGGAAACAAACACATACCATGATTACACCATGGCAAATACAATTCTCTCACCAAAATCACGGCTACACCAGTGGAAGGAGACAACTGTGGCAGAGATGTACCTGCTTTTTTGCCACAATAATGCTTATGCCACATGTGTATAAGCACACTGTCACCACATACTGGGCAACAGAACGCCTGATTTCAACTCCAGGTTTTAGTGACATTATAGGTGTCAATCGTTTTCCTGATACTGTTACATATGTTACACTTTTCAGACAAAACCAGGCCTGACAGAACCAACAGGTTATATAAGATCAGAAATGTGTTTATGTACCTGAAACAAAAGTGCTGCATGTGTTTTTTATCCCTTCAGGAAGCTTGTTATTGATGAGTCCTTGATTTTATTCAAAGGAAGACTCTCATTCAAGCAATATATACCAAGCAAGAGGAAATGCTTTGGTATAAAGTTATTTGTACTGTGTGATTGCAGAAGTGGTCTAGTTTTGGATATCGTGTACACTGGCAGTAATACTTTGAGAGGTATCATGAAGTTATTGGGTATCTCTGGTGATGTGGTTCGAACAATGATGGAACCATATCTTGGTAAGGGGCATATGTTATTTACTGATAACCGGTACACGAGCCCCTTACTCAGTGATTTCTTGCGAGTGAACTTAACAGACGTGTGTGGCACAGTGCGTGGTAATCGTAAACATATGCCAAGGTTCGACGCTGGCACTCGCAGAGGTGAGGTGCAAGCCTTTGCTGCCAATGACATCATGGCATTTCGGTGGCATGACAAACGTGATGTCACATTGTTGACATCAGTTCACCCAAACGAAATGGCACACAGTGGCAGGCACAACAGAGAGACCAATGAACCCATTCTAAAGCCTGCAGCTGTCATGGACTACAACCTCAATATACGCTTAGTGGACAAATGTGACATGCAGATTGGGTTTGCAGATTGTGTACGCAAGAGTTATAAGTGGTATATAAAACTTTTTTTCCACCTTGTTGATATCTCTATGCTAAATGCTTATAACATATACAAGTTGAAGACCAACAAAACACCAAAATATGGTGAATTTTGTTCGTCAGTAATCAGACAAATAATCGCAAAGTACCAAGGAGCAACACCTGCAACAGACCAGCGCCCACGAAATTACCAACACACGTCATCTCGTTTCAGGCCTGGTGATCACTACCCCATACAACTGCCTCCTACTACTGCCAAGAAAAATGCTCAGAAGAGGTGTTATGTATGTACACATACCACAAAACGCCCACAAACACGCAGAGACACTCGTTTTATGTGTGAGGAGTGTCAAGTGCCCCTCTGCATATACCCATGTTTCAAAGAGTTCCGCAAGCTGCAGCAGTTCTAGGAATGTGTTCAGTGACTGTACATATGTATATATATTATGGAACAATAGTAATAAACATTGTTTTGTATTGTTTGTTTGTGTAAACAAAGTGTATACACAAACTAATAGTGATAAAGTTTGTTCTGTTATTGTGCTGTAAACAATGAGTGTATATTTGAAAAATGCACCTTACATTGGTCTCACAGGCCACATAAGTTACTTGGAAAAGAAAAATATTGAAAAATGCAAGAAACTTTTGAATTAGAGTAAATAAAAGAATACCGGGTGGGCGGCAGTCACCGCTGTTGCCATACGCACGTCACTTTCTGCAAACTTTGTGGCTCTATATCTCAGTAAGTACTGATGGCAAAAATTTTTTTTAGGCTTAAAACACTCAGAAAAATATTCCTAACATTTTCATAAGAATTTTTTTTTTTTCGAATATTTTGCGACATAGAATGACAGTTTCAGAAAGGGGCCTGCGACAGTCAAAGGGTTAAAGGTAAGTGTCAATTATTCTATTGTTATTAATCTATTGTTATTGTTGTTATTGTAATTATTCTATTGCATTAAACTTAATATTTAATGTGGTAAAAAAATTTTTTTTGATACTTTTGGGTGTCTTGCACGGATTAATTTGATTTCCATTATTTCTTATGGGGAAAATTAATTCGACTTTCGATATTTTTGACATTCGATGAGCTCTCAGGAACGGATTAATATCGAATGTCGGGTAGTAGCATGTCATTTTGGGTAGTAGTATGTCATTTCGGGTAGTAGTATGGCATTTCGAGTAGCAGTATGGCATTTCGGGTAGTAGTATGGCATTTCGGGTAGTAGTATGGCATTTCGGGTAGTAGTATGGCATTTCGGGTAGTAGTATGGCATTTCGGGTAGTAGTACGGCATTTCGGGTAGTAGTATGTCATTTCGGGTAGTAGTATGGCATTTCGAGTAGCAGTATGGCATTCCGGGTAGTAGTATGGCATTTCGGGTAGTAGTATGGCATTTCGGGTAGTAGTATGTCATTTCGGGTAGTAGTATGGCATTTCAAGTAGCAGTATGGCATTCCGGGTAGTAGTATGGCATTTCGGGTAGTAGTATGGCATTTCGGGTAGTAGTATGGCATTTCGGGTAGTAGTATGTCATTTCGAGTAGTAGTATGGCATTTCGGGTAGTAGTATGTCATTTCGGGTAGTAGTATGTCATTTCGGGTAGTAGTATGTCATTTCGGGTAGTAGTATGGCATTTCGGGTAGTAGTATGTCATTTCGGGTAGTAGTATGGCATTTCGGGTAGTAGTATGGCATTTCGGGTAGTAGTATGGCATTTCGGGTAGTAGTATGGCATTTCAGGTAGTAGTATGCAATTTTGGGTAGTAGTATGTAATTTCGGGTAGCAGTATGGCATTTCGGGTAGTAGTATGTCATTTCGGGTAGTAGTATGGCATTTCGGGTAGCAGTATGGCATTTCGGGTAGTAATATGGCATTTCAGGTAAATTTGGTTAATTTTGTCCCCAGGATGCGACCTATATCAGTCAACTATATACATAAATACAGTTACATAAGTTATCATACATAGCAACATGTGTAGATTACCCAGGATAACCAAAAAAAAAGTGAAAGTGACTTATTTCCATTGGGGTCCTGATGAAAACTGCCCAGACAGTTGAAGCTTAGTTTAAAAAGTCAAACGAGCAAACACTAGGACATATTTATTATAAAACGTTCAAGAGGAGAGCCAAAAGGTGTCTGATGGATGAAGCAACAGAAAGGGAGGAGAATTATTTTTTTTTTTTTTAGCTCACACACATGTAAATATAAATAGCTTAATTTACATTGTTCCTTTATAGTATAATAATAAGATATTATCTCCTTTATAGTATAATAAGGTAATAAAAGGACACCAATGGAAATAAGTCACTGGCTTTTTTTTTGGGTTATCCCAGATCCCAGGTTCTATACACATATGCTGCTATGTATGATAATCTATGTAACTGTATTTGTATATACCTGGAGTTACCTGGAGAAAGTTCCGGGGGTCAACGCCCCCGCGGCCCGGTCTGTGACCAGGCCTCCTGGTGGATCAGAGCCTGATCAACCAGGCTGTTACTGATGGCTGCACACAATCCAATGTACGCGCCACAGCCTGAATAAACTTAGTCCTGGGACCCTGATCAAGGTCCCAGGACCCAAACATCTTCTAATAAACACGTACCTCTGTAAGGAATAAGGATTTTATTTCTTTGCATAGTTTACATTGTGTAATTACAATTTTGATTTTCCAAGTACAAAGAAAGCCACTATTATGCCGGGGCATCTCGGGCAGACTAAACCTAACATCTGGAAGCTTACCTCATGCCTTGGCTACAACCATGAGTTTTACAAAACTTGAAGGTGATCCTCTGGAGCTGCTGGACATATCGACCAACTCCATTCCGTAATGGAGCTTTAACAAAAGTTGAACCCCAGAAGCGGTTCCATGTCTGGGTGGTCATTATCCTTCACCACACCTCTAGTAACTTAACAGGTTCCTTCTTCTTGTTTTATACAAGCAGTTTGCTGGGAGGTTCCAACTGCTTGATTTATAACAGTAGATTACCTAGAGATTTCTGCTACTCCCGATTCTTTTTCTTTTCTTTGTTGGGTTTATAAGGGCCACTGACAGCATAAGCTGTATCGATTCCGGTTTCTCGTTGGTACGAGAAAAAATTGGTGCCCAAGGCTGGGCGATGAGAGAAAAGGAACAAAAGTTTCTTTGTAAATAGAGATAGAAACTTGAAGTTTCCAATTAGATCCGATGGACGCCCTTGCCAAGCCCCAGCAGGGATGGACGCTCACTCTCCCACCTGAGTTCAGTAACCGGCTTCCCACTAAAGACCGATAAAGAATTTTCCGCAGAGCGGAAAAAATGGAGCTGGCTGAAAGTAAGCCGATGAACAGGTGCCCCTCCTGTAGAGTGCCAGGCGGGCAAAATAGATGAGGACAAGCGTCCCAGTGAGAACGGGGAAAATTTGTCACTGATAATCAGGCGAGAGAGAGAGATGTCAACACCCGACGAAGGCTGGCGCAGAAGTCCCTGCTTCTTGTTGGGTTTGTAACACCATTCACAACTTACTCCCAGTGAGCCCTATATTAATAATAATAATAATAATAATAATAATAATAATAATAATAATAATAATAATAATAATAATAATAATAATAATCTTTATTTCTACAAGTACATGTACAAGGCAAACAGGCTTAGCTGACATCAATGACATACTACTACCCTAAATGCTGTGCATTTCGGGTAGTAGTATGACATTTCAGGTAGTAGTATGGCATTTCGGGTAGTATTATGGCATTTCGGGTAGTAGTATGTCATTTCGGATAGTAGTATGTCATTTCGGGTAGTAGTATGTCATTTCGGGTAGTAGTATGTCATTTCGGGTAGTAGTATGGCATTTCGGGTAGTAGTATGGCATTTCGGGTAGTAGTATGTCATTTCGGGTAGTAGTATGTCATTTTGGGTAGTAGTACGGCATTTGGGTATTATTATTATTATTATAATCAAGGGGAAGCGCTAAACCCGGAGGATTATACAACGCCTGGGGGGGGGATGTGGAAGGCATTCAGGCTTAATTCGGGGAACTGGATTTGGGTAGTAGTATGGCATTTCGGGTAGTAGTATGGCATTTCGGGTAGTAGTATGTCATTTCGGGTAGTAGTATGTCATTTCGGGTAGTAGTATGGCATTTGGGTAGTAGTATGTCATTTCGGGTAGTAATATGTCATTTGGGTAGCAGTATGGCATTTCGGGTAAATTTGGTTAATTTTGTCCCCAGGATGCGACCCATATCAGTCGACTAACACCCAGGTACCTATTTTACTGATGGGGAACATGGACAGCAGGTGTTTTAAGGAAAGATGCCCTAATATTTCCTCCCGTACCGGGAATCGAACCACGGACCTCAGTGTGTGAGCCGAGTGCGCTAGCGATTGAGCTATGGGAAGTAGATAAGAAAGAAAGCGAGGGTGAAAACATTATCCTTAAGATAAAATTTTGTTCAGATTTTTAACCCCGGAGGGTAAGCTACTCAGCATAATCCAAGGCAGTGCTTCATCGAGGACTGTCTTATTTCCATTGTGGTCTTCAATCTTGCTCCCCAGGATGCCACCCACACCAGTCGACTTACATCCAGGCACCTATTGCTTGCTAAGTGAACGGGACAACAGGTGTAAGAAAACACGCCCAGCGTTACCACCCTTGCCGGGGATCGAACCATGGACACTCAGTATGTGAAGCGAGAGCGTTGCCTACCAGGCCACGGACCTGGTAGGCCTGTGGCCTGTGTCCGTGGTACCTAACAAGTGAGTAGGTACCTGGGTCAACTGTTGTGGGTCGCATCCTGGGGGACAAGATTGAAAGACCACAATGGAAATAAGACAGACAGTCCTTGATAACGCACTACCTTTCTTGGATTACCCTGGGTAGCTAACCCTCCGGGGTTAAAAATCCTAACAAAATCTTATCTTAAGTAAATTTATTTAGGTACAGTTACACATAAGATAAATTATCATACATAGTATAAATCATAAGTGTAGAAAATCTTGATAATTTTCCTGTAATTTGTGTGTAAGAACTGTTGGGGATAATAGTATTTATAATATCTCATGTAGGTATGTATCTTCAGTGACTTTTAAAAGATGTTCTGTAATATGAGAACTAATATTCTCTGTTGCTTCCTTATATTCTGTAAGGGGTTGAATAAGTAAAGTGAAAATTATTGTAATTTAGAAGAAGTTAATATTTCAATAATAAAAATGTAGTACAAACCTGGAAGTGATATTAAGTTAATTGAAAAGATGTATTGGTAGACAAAATGTTGAGGAGAACAACGAAAATGGCGGAGTTATACGAATTGGACCGGGAATTTGTGGAGAATTAATCTCATTTACTCTAAGCCGATAGAAATAGTATCGGCTAATATAGTGTCCTATATAATAAGTGAATTTGACGTGTATCTGGAAGGGTTGAAATATAAAGTGAAACTCCAAATAAGGATGATATGAATGAAAACGTAAGCTGTTGTTGGAGAATCAACATTTCCCGCCACATATCAAATTGTACGGCTCCCAGTGTGAATTAAGTCTCACTGGTTAATATTAGTTACCTGCAGATAGGGAGGCGTTAAGACATCACCAAGACCATAATTTGGTAAGATATATTTATCTTTTTTATTTTTTTGTAACACTAACATAGTTACATACATCATAAAACCAATTAAAATTTGTCAAGTCCAATAATTTTCCTTTATACAGTCCACAACCAAATTTAATACAACAAGTGTTACTGTCTTGGAATATTTTGTTAAAAAATGTTGTGACCCACTGTTGGTAAAGTTCCACCTGTCTCTGAGGGACAATGTAGTGACCCACTGTTGGTAAAGTTCCACCTGTCTCCGAGGGACAATGTTGTGACCCACTGTTGGTAAAGTTCCACCTGTCTCCGAGGGACAATGTTGTGACCCACTGTTGGTAAAGTTCCACCTGTCTCCGAGGGACAATGTTGTGACCCACTGTTGGTAAAGTTCCACCTGTCTCCGAGGGACAATGTTGTGACCCACTGTTGGTAAAGTTCCACCTGTCTCCGAGGGACAATGTTGTGACCCACTGTTGGTAAAGTTCCACCTGTCTCCGAGGGACAATGTAGTGACCCACTGTTGGTAAAGTTCCACCTGTCTCCGAGGGACAATGTTGTGACCCACTGTTGGTAAAGTTCCACCTGTCTCTGAGGGACAATGTTGTGACCCACTGTTGGTAAAGTTCCACCTATCTCCGAGGGACAATGTTGTGACCCACTGTTGGTAAAGTTCCACCTTTGGGGTCCAGTCCCTGGACCCATTATGTTCCTCTGTAATCTTTTGACAACCGCCTACAGGATGGATATGGGTGCATAATAAACATTAAACTGTCTCCGAGGTACAACTACAGCAGTTAGTGTAATTTGTTTTAGATGTACCAGAGTTCTCCCCAGTTATATGGTGAAATGTTAATTCAAGATTATAGCTGAAATTTCTCACACTAAGTACAGTTATGCAAATTTAAGCGTTTACAGTTATTATTCATAGTAATATGTGTGTAAATTACTTAGGATAACCAAAAAAAAGTAAAGACGAAGGGACTTATTTCCATTGCGGTCTTTGTAATATTATGTTATTTAAAGCCTAGCTATAAGATACAGGAATCAATCATGACTATAACCTTAAAATGAAAAGAACTAATTAACTCAACTTCGTGAAAATCAGTTACAGTAAATAGAGTTGCAACGACACCAGTGGATGTAAGTCACTGTCTGACATTTTTGTGGTTATCCTAGGTAATTTACACTGTATGGTAATTGTACTTATGTGTGCCTGTGTCTAAATAAACTTACAATTACTTCATATATTCGCACAGAGTAGAGTAAAAGAACCCCGCCATTCCACACCCCATGGACGATGTCCAAGGTAGTTCAAACAGTGTTCCTGTATTTACTAATAAATCATTCCATTTTTGTCACCAACTGGGTAGGAAGAATAGCCCAAGCACCAGCATTAAATACAAGACTGTTGTCAGAGCAGTTAGGGACTATATTCAAGAATCACCCGTAATTATCACGGGTCATTTCTTCGAGACTTTTTTGGGTTATCCTAGGTTCTCTACACATATGCTGCTATGTTTGATAATTCTATGTAACTGTATTTGTGTATACCTGAATAAACTTACTTACTTACTTACTTACTTAATAACACTGGTGCTGAAATCACCCTACGTTGCTGTGCTGCTGCTGCTGTGGCGGCGGCGGCGACGACGGAGAGGGTTGTTAGGGGCTACCACAGACAATGCTCTCTTGAATCCTCTCTCCCTGCGTTTTGGGGAAGCACTAAATTTTGACTAGAAAAGAATGAGGAATGAAAGTGCTAATAAAATAAAATGCAAAACGTACCCAGTTAAGACATTAAGAGCGCTCAAAACAATGCGTGTTATTAATGTTTTAAGAGGCTTCGAAGTCCATGTACCACGTCCGTGAAAGTCATCCATCCCTCTAGCTAGTTCATCGGTCTGGTGCTATCTTGTGCAACGCTGCTTTGAACGAAGTCATCGTCCTTCCTAGCAGCCACATCATTGTATACACTGGTGGTGGTATCCAGATCATTGTATACACCAGAAGTGGTAGCCAGATCATTGTACACACTAGTAGTGGTAGGTAGATCATTGTATACACCAGTAGTGGTAGCCAGGTCATTGTATACACTAGTAGTGGTAGCCAGATCATTGTATATGCCAGCAGTGGTAGCCAGATCATTGTATACACTAGAAGTGGTGGCCAGATCATTGTACACACTAATAGTGGTAGCCAGATCATTGTATACACCAGTAGTGGTAGCCAGATCATTGTATACACCAGTAGTGGTAGCCAGATCATTGTATACACCAGTAGTGGTAGCCAGATCATTGTATACACCAGTAGTGCCAGCCAGATCATTGAAAACACCAAGTGGTAGTCAAATCTTTGTAACACCAGTAAGTAGCCAGATCTTTGTTACACCATAGTGGTAGCCAGTCATTGTTACACCGGTAGGGGTACCAGATCTTTGTATTAACAAAGTTGTCAAATCATTGAACACCAGTAGGGGTAGCCAGATCTTTGTAACACCATAGTGGTACCAATCATTGTATAACCTAGTGGTAGACACATCATTGATACACCTAGTGGTAGCCAACCATTGTTTCCCATATGGTCCCCAATCATTGTTACACCAAAAATGGTCCAATCATTGTTACCCCAGAGTGGTACCAATCATTGTACACACCAAGTGGTAGCCAACTTTTGTATACACCGAGGGAGCAGACATTGTATACACCATAGTGGTATCAGATCATTGTATACACCAAGGGGTAGCCAGCTTGAAACACCTATGGTACCCAGATCTTTGATCCCCACCGGTGGGTACCAATCATTATATACACCGGGGGGTACCAGATCATTGTATACACCAGTATGGTAGCCAGATCATTGTATACACCATAGGGGGTACCAAATCA